GACTACATGGGAGTCCAGCAACATAGCCATTACACTAACTGCTGGTCCCCTCCTCTTGGGATCTTGGGCACACATGCACACACACACACGCCTGGCATGAGTTTTAGGCCACTGGGTCCAGGACTTGAACTGTGGTTGACTACATGGGAGTCCAGCAACATAGCCATTACACTAACTGCTGGTCCCAGGGATTCTATCTTTCCATCTCTGTCTCTCCTGCTTATAGAAGAAATAAACTTGAAAAGCTAGACTCCCAAGTCAGGTGATTCTCACTGAAATCACCCCCAGAGGGAGTGATTTCTCACTGTCCCTTTCTTGGTCTCTCTAGAGCAAGCACATGTACCCTATGGCAAACAAACAAACAAACAAAAAGAAAAACCTAAAAATAAATAAATAAATTATGTTGTGCTTTAAAAAGCACTCATTTCCAGGGGCCAACAGATGACCATGCAATAATGGTTGCATTGCTGAACTCCCAGATGGCCAACCATAATCTGAGTCCCTGACCCAGTGACTTGAAAATCATGCTGGACACATGTGTGCATGCCCAAGATCCTGGGAGGAGAATGGAGAATGGATTGTGTCTTGGCTATCCTCCCTGGGGGATTTCTCTCTCTCTCTCTCTCTCTCTCTCTCTCTCTCTGTTTCTCTGGCAAGTGCACACATTCTATTGCCATAAAATCTTGGGGAAAAAAAATTTCCAGACCAGCCCCATGGCCTGGTGGTTAAGGGAGCCATTTCTCACTTGATCAACCCTGCAGTTTGACTGCTGGCCCTGGTAGCTTGAAAAATAAGCTGGCTGTGGGACAAACAGTTAGCGTAATGGCTATGTTGCTGGACTCTCATGTAGTCGAACACAGTTCGAGTCCTGGACCCAGTGGCTTAAACTCACGCTGGGTGTGTGTGCATGAGTGCCCAAGATCCTGAGAGGAGATTGGAGGAGAAGGGATTGCATTGTAACCACCCCCCTGTAGGGGTGTGTGTGTGTGATTTCTCACTTTCTGTCTCTCTCTCTCTCTTTCTGTTTTTCTGGTGAGCGCATGTGCCCTACAGCAAAAACCAGTCCAAAGGGGGAAAAAAAAGGAAAAAGAAAGACTATTCAAATAATGAAAATAAAGGGGTCTAAGTTGATTATCTGAGGTTTGAACCTGAGATCTGGAAGGCAGTGTATTATAGCATATTATAGTGGTTAGAATCTCCTGACCTGGGAGTCTAGCTTCTAAAATTTATTTCTTCCATGAGCAGGAGAGAGAGAGAGAGAGAGAGAGAGAGAGATGGAAAGATAGAATCCTCAACATAGTCTTATGCTACAATCCACCCTACAGCTTTACCAGTCTAGATGACAGCCACGTTCATGCCCAGCTTACTCAGGGAGGTCTCTGGACACAAACCCAGAAGCTTCTCATGTAGGTCAGCCTCACTGAGTGTTGTTTTTCTTAACACTGCACCACTTCTGGCCATACTCATGTCTTAAGTACTCAAAAAATTATTTTTTATGGAATAACCATGGTATAATATGAAATATGAAAGTTGAAAGGAAAACTTATTTGGTAGGAAAATATAATGAATTTAGATTTAGTCACATATTATTTATTTAATTGATTCGTGGGACCAGCAGTTAGCGTAATGGCTGTGTTGCTGAACTCCCATGTAGTCGACCGTTATTCGAGTCCTGGACCCGGTGGCTTAAACTCATACTGGGCGCATGTGCGTGCGTGCCCAAGATCCCGAGAGGAGAATGGAGGAGAAGGGATTGCGGTGTGGCCATCCCCCCTGGGAGATGATTTCTCGCTTTCTGTCTGTCTGTCTCTGTCTTTCTGGCGAGCATATGCGCCCTATAGCAAAAACCTCTCCAAAAAAAAAAAATTGATAAAATATTTAATTGATTCATAGTCGACTAAGTTCCAAGAAGGACTTGATATGGTGACTTATGGACAAGTGGAATTCATGTGCTAATGGGACAGTGATCATTCATAGATAGCCTGAAAACATGGAAGGTGAAATATCAGAGCTGAAGATCTAAGGTTGGAAACTGTCAACAGCTAGCTCTTTTTCTGGGCCAATTATCTCTTTTTTTAAAATAATTATTCAATTTTATTTATCATTACTTGTTTAATTTACCAGAGAGACAGAGAGGACAAAGAGAGGGAAAGTGAGAAAGCAAGCCACCAGGTCCAGGACTCAAACAGCAGTAGGCCATATGGGATTCTAGCATTTTAACTACCATACCACCTGCTGGTCCCCCAATTAGCTCTTTAAGGAAGGGAATGTTGAAGAGAAGTCTCAGGATAATGCTCAGGAAGAGGAAGAAGAAGCAAGAGAAAAACAAATACTTGGTCATAAAAGCAGGAAAGGAATCAGGAAATCAAGAGGGCATAAATTTGTGGGTGATGAGTAATGAGGAAGTGGTCAACACCAATGCAGCATAGATTTTAAGGAGGAGAAAAGCGGATTAAATGTGGCTGGTTCTCATCAGTGGCCTTTGAAAGAGCAGTTACAGATTTGCAAGCCAGCCTGCAAGATGTAATGAGTATGTCGGGACCAACAGTTGGCGTAATGGCTATGTTGCTGGACTCCCATGTAGTTGACCGCAGTTCAAGTCCCAGACCTGGTGGCTTAAACTCACACCGGGCACGTGTGCGTTTGTGCCCAAGATCCCAAGAGGAGAATGGAGGAGAAGGGATTGCAGCATGGCCATCCTCCCTGGGTGGTGATTTGTCACTTTCTATCTCTCTGTCTCTCTCTGTCTTTCTGGCGAGTATGCAATAAAAAACCAGATATAATGAGTATATGTAGGAAGATACACAGGTATATATTATATAGCTTATATCTATGGCTATAATGTATAGATATAAGCTATATAATACATATTATATATGTGTGTAACATATATATATACACACACACACACACATATTATATATTATGTAAGAAAGCTAAAAATAAGCATTTCTAGATTTGTTCTCAGTCCTTTAACTTCTGACTTCTTAGGCATGACTTGCATAACCAGAGCCAGTGTTCGCAGATACACAAAACTTAGAGGATTTTTTCTTTGCCTTTTTTCTCTAATTTTTCAGCAGATGTGACTCTCAACTCCCTGGTGTCTGAAGCATTTGTCAGGTTTTTTGTGGAGCTGGTAGGACATTATTCCTTGAATATGACTGTTACTGAGCGTGGGGAGCGTGTATTCCAAAGGGAACCATTCCGTAAGTCCCACACCTCCCGTAGTGTACGCCACTTCCTGGATCTCTTCATGGAGACTCAGATGTTTGCAGGATTCATCCAGGACCGAGAACTTCGGAAAAGTGGTGTTAAAGGTCAGTTTCCATCAGAAAATTCTTCCTCTCTATTTAGTGAGTACTTGAAAGGCAGTAATATAGTATATTTTAAAAATAGTCTACAACTACAAAGTCTTAAAATCTGAATTGTGGGAGCTGGCAGGTGGGGTGATGGTTAAAGGCGCTGGATTCCCACATGACTGACTGTGGTTTAAGTCCCAGACCTGGTGGCTTGCTTTCTTCCTTTCCCTTTCTCTCTCTCTCTCTCTCTCTCTCTGTCTCTTTCTGGTCAAAATAAGATAATAACAATAACTAATGGAATTAAATAAATCTTTTTTTTAAATCTGAATTGTTTAATCTGGGAATTACTTTTAATGTATTTTAACCATTGAAGTAATATATTAGTGGTGAACATAGTTTTATTTCATTAATTTCTAGTCTTGAGTGTTGGACAGTTTCACCAACATAAGTTTTGCTCATAGGTTTGTTTGAAGTTCGAGCTCTCCAGTATTTGGAGACAATTCCTGAGTCTGAGCCTAGTGGGGTGAATAGAATTTTGCGGAGTATTGGTAAGTTGTCATGTTTTCCGGTTAAGTAAATATGATTGAAAAGGCTTTGCTATAAACAGGCTTCATCGCAAAACAGATCAGCAATGTAACCTCAAGTAGGTTGCCAGAAACCATGACCTTAGTTTTACATATTTTGGAGGAAAATAAGCCTCTATCTCAGAGGTTGGGTAGTTTATGGAGCAGTTTTCCTAAGATGAAGCTCCGTAAACTATCCTTTCACAGTATCTTTGTGTGTTAAAATTAGTAATCTTTTCTAGGTCATGTCTCTTGGAGAATCCTATACAAGTTGTGGACCTTTTTTCCCAGAAAAAAATATACTTACAAAATACAAATAGATTTTGCCTGTAATTTTAGGGTATTCTTGGAACCCCTGAAGCTTATCCATGGACTTCAGATTAAAAACACTTGGTTTAGAGGGGTTATGAGGCAAAAGAGGATTTCTTATAAGTCTCTTAATTTTGCACATCATAAAGAAACACAGGCTTTTATGATTTTCCAATTACAGTTATCCAGTATAAGAGAACAGTGATATAGCTAACCCCAAAGAATGAAAACCCTATGTTCTATATGGTATTTACATTGGTCTTTAAAATATATGCCTGTTGGAGCCAGCATGGTTGGGAGGGGGAGAGGTTATTATTAACAAGATAAAGGGAGAGGAGGGGCTGAAAGCCAAGAAAATGCTTTACCTTTACAAATTTTAAAAAGGAAAAATTACAAAAAAATGAGAAGACAGAGACAGAGGTAGGTAGAGAGAGACAAGAGATAGAAGTCTTGAAAGGCTTCCTACCACTTGAGTTTGTGGGCTGGAAGCTGAATTATCAGTGGAAAATCTTCATTTCTCTTATTCCCCTGAAATCACTAGTTCTCAGGAAGCATGAGGCCATGTCCTTAACTAGCTGAAAGACCATAGACAAATTATGCCTTGGGGTGTTATTTCATTTTTATACCATGGAGTTAGAGAAGATCAGTAGTTCTAAACTCTAACTACATATTGTAATCTATTTTTAAAAATTTCCCCCATGGGACCAGCAGATGGCATAAGGATCCCCCACGTAGGTCACAGGATTCCCACGTAGTCGACCATGCTTCAAAGACCATGCTTCAAATCCCAGATGGCTTAAAACTCATGCCGAGCGTCCAAACTCCTGAGAGGAGAAGGGATTGTGGTGTGGCCATTCCCCCCCTGGGGGGTGATTTCCTGCTTTCTGTCTCTCTGGGAAGCACATGAGCCCTACAACAAAAATCTCTCTTATTATAAGAAAAAAAGTTTTCCCCTGGGTTCCAAGAACTCTCCGAGGTGCAAGCCAGGTGATTTTAACTTACAGTCAGGGTTGAAAACCACTGAATTAGATGATGTCTGAGTTGTTTTCTACCTCTACAATTAGACACTTGGGGGATGTCTGACAGTTTGAGATGGCAGTTTAACTTTTGGGTTGTTACAGATGATTAAGTTGTTAATCCCTTGCATCAAATAATGTATAGTAAATAAAAATGAATTAAGAATTCACTCTACCTTTTTTCTCTTTAGGAAGTAAAATGAAGTTTCTGCAGAAGAAATGAAGTCTTGATCTCCATACTAAATAGAACAGAAAGTGCCAAAGGAAATATTTTTCTAAGGATCAGGATGCCTTGAAGTAGTCTACAAAATCCTTGACATTTTAGAAGATTAAAGAGCGAGGCAGGCTCTCAGAGGATTCTTCTGTTGCTGCTGTAGTAATAACTGGAAAATTGTCAGTAGTTTCAGTCTCAAACCAGTTCTCTCTTTTGCCTCTAGATTTTTTAGTGGCTTTTTAAAAATTTGATTCTTGGACGAATTCTCTTGTGTTTTTACTTATCTGTGAAGACAGTTATCTTTTACAAAGGAAAGGCTTGTTGGTGTTGCATTTAAAAAAAAAACAGCTCAAAGATGAGTATAATGAGAGATGCTGAGTTTAAGGTTCTAGAGAGGATGATAAAATTGGAGAGTACTTGCCTTACATAATTTTCATCAGTGAAATATCATGGCAGCTTTAAACCTATGGCCGTTTGTGCTGAATATATTAAGGAATATACTCATTACATGGGTTAGTCCACTTTCTGTTGCTGTAAGTGAAGACTGCAGACTAGGTAATTTAGCTTATTCTGGAGGCTGGCAAGTCCAATAATGGAGATGCTGCGAATTCTCTTGGTGCATCCTCACGTGTTGGAGGGCATCACATGGCAAGAGGACACAAGCTAGAAAGTTCGATTGTGTAACAAGCCACTCCCAAGGTAGCAACATCATTCCATTTATGAGGTCAGTGCCAATCACTTCTCATTAGACCCCACCTTCCAGTACTGTTGCATTCAGGATTATTTCCAACACATTAATTTGTGGAACACATTCAAACTGTAGCATTATATCTCTCTCTATTTTTTTCTCTAGTGCTCTATCTAGGAAAATCTTACATAGTAGTCCTATTTATTAGTACCTGCTCTTGAGTACCTTATAACAGTAGATTATCTTGCAGGCCCTCTTTCACACTGTGTGAAACTTGAATAGCTTGTCTTCCTATGTCAACATTAAACTTTGTGGAATTAAAACTAATGGGAAAATATCCTTTCAAGGGCATGAGAACTACCTGTTACTTAGTGTGGATCATGCAGAGTAGTACATGTATGTATGTCGTCTTATCCAGTCCTTAAGTCGACTTTATGAGAGAGATACTTCCATCTCCATTTTACTAATGAAGAAACTGGAATTCAAAAGGAACTGGAATTCAAAAGGTCAATAACTTGCCCATAGTTATATATAGAAACAAGACATAAGCCAGGACTTTTATTTTTATGAACACAGAGATTAGTTAGTCCTACAGATGGGAATTTGAACTCTGAAGGATTAAAACCATTTAAAAAGTTTTCTATTAAATGTACAGGGCCACCTCTCAACTCTGAAGAAGGGACTTTATAAACTAAAGAAGGGTTTTAAAGAGTCTGCCAAAACCAGACTTTTTGATTCTTCTAGAATTGTTTAACTTTTGCTCTAGTTAAATTAGACTTGGAATATGCATGTTTTCTTAGCAACCACTAAATCACCCAAACCCTTAAAATCTAAAGTAGCAGTAGTAAGTGGAAAAGGAATTTGTTGGCGATGATGCAATTTTCATTGATAAATATAGCAAATGTCTGTTTTCTTCGACTTCTGCTGATGGTTTTAATTGGCATAGAAGATACTCAAAACTTACAAAGCCTTGTAAGTTGTATTGTGATACTACTGTCTTGTACAGTATTGTCATTATAATCTATTAAGGTGTGCACGAGTGAATCTGAAGCAGACTTGATTTAAGACTGGTGCTGTGTAAATATAATTTCTACAGATGTGGGTCCAGAGAACAGAACTGAGCCCATGTCTTAAAATTTTGACTAAGCAACTTACCCCAATGGGGCTCCTACCAGACATTCCCATTTGGTCTCTTGTTACACTTCAATCCTGAGGGAACAATTAGTAATTGGGTGTTTATAAAATAAGGGTAGGAGGGTTTACTGTGGTGGATCCTGGCAATCCCTTTGTGAGAACTCTGCTTCAGGGAGGGGAGTCTTCCTTTATCCCACAATCTGAAGCTGCTTCCTTTCCTTAGGTTTGTTGTATTTTATTTTTGTAAAGTATTATAAATTCTGGATATGTTTATAAAAGAATCACTCAAGATATGTACAAAATGTTGTTTATAGGTCTTTTAATGAATAAACATAAAAATCCCACAAATCTCTTGGAGATTACTCAATAAAATTGTTTAAGATATACAGTCTTCACTTAGATATATTGTTGCTAGCAGGTTTACCTGGTAAATTATAACCTGAATCGACTTTAGACTTAATAACTATGGCCAACATTTCTAAGATCTTGTTTATACACACCAGGCAAGGTATACAGTCCGACCACCTTATTTGGCCTTTGCCTTAAGTAGGTTGTTAGTCTGGGAGCTATGGAGCAGCAGCAGCCCGAGTGGTTGGGAGGCAGTGAAGAGCGCTGTTCTGTTACTGTACATTCTAAAGGCAAAATGACAGGGTTTTAAGAATTGGTGTGTGTGTGTGTGTGTGTGTGTGTGTGTGTGTGTGTGTGTGTAAATCTTACCCTGGGGCAGATTAGGTTCCTTTTGTTAAACAGACTAAAGCTTCGCAATTTTAGGTGGAGATTGGCGCCCACTTCTAATCGGTAAGAGAAAACCGTGCTTGGGACCAGCAGTTAGTGTAATGGCTATGTCGCTGGACTCCCACATAGTCAACCGTGGTTCGTGTCCTGGACCCAGTGGCTTAAAACTCATGCTGGGCGCGTGTGCGTGCTGCCCAAGATCCCGAGGGCAGAATAAAGGAGAAGGGATTGCGGTGTGGCCATCCCCCCTGGGGGGTGATTTCTTGTTTTCTCTCTGTCTCTGTCTGGTGAGCGCACGCGCCCTATAGCAAAAAAAAACTCTAAAAAAAAAGAGAGAGGAAACCGTGCTCGTCCAACGCAGACTCTGGACGCTTAGAGCGAAGAATGAAGTACAGTAAGGACGTGCAAAGGCGAGGCGGACAACAAAAATGGGGAGGTGGAAGGTCAGGGGACTAAGCCGAAGTGGAAAAGTTAGTTTCTCTCTCCTCGCCAAATCCCGAAGCCAGCTCCCTCCAGAAGTTTAAAAAAGCTGTCCTTGCAAAAGTCAGTTCCTGGAGGAAACAAAAAGTCCCCCAAATTTCAGCAAATTGCTACCACTCGCAAGCAAAAAGCATTAGCGAGCCATAACAGGAAGTTGAGATCTTGCGCCGACGCCAAGAGTCTGGCGCGTGACATCATTTCCGCCCCAAAAGAGCTTGGCGAGCGCTAGTGGTTGGGCAAGCGCGCCTTTGGAATTAGCAACTGAGCATGCGTCAAGATCAATACGCGGATGACGTGGGTTTCAGTAGTGTCAGCGCGAACGTAAATTAAACGCGACTGAACCGGCGCAGACTCGGAAGACGCCTGCGAGCCTGAGGTGTCCGGAATGGCGGGTACGGGTCTGGTGGCCGTGGTGGTGGATGCGCTGCCGTATTTCGATCAAGGCTATGAAGCGCCTGGTGTGCGGGAAGCGGTGAGTGCAGGGTGTCTGTGTAGCTGTGCAGCCGGCTCGGCCCTCGGTTCATAGCGCCCGTGGGAGAAGCCGGTTTCCGTGTGCCGCTCCTACCCCGGCCTCTGTTCTCCTTAGGCTGCAGCGCTGGTGGAGGAGGAAACGCGCAGATACCGACCCACCAAGAACTACCTCAGCTACCTGACGGCCCCCGACTATTCTGCCTTTGAAGTAAGTGTGACGTCTTGAGCCCTCCGTGTCAACGCGGATTCACTCCTCGGAGCCTTTATTTTGAATTGAAAGTCGTAGCTGCATAGAAGCTAATTTTAAGTTTCAGCTTTAACGATTGCCGGCTTAGCTATATTTACTTCTCGTTGAGGTTTCTGTCTATTGGAAACACTTAGATAAGCCGCCTTCTGGGTTCTTATTCTCAGATCTGTAAAAGGACCTTCTGGGGCTCAGCGAACTAACTTAATGCAGAAATTTCTGCGTACAATTGTTTGAGATAGGGTCCGTGCATACATTCTCTAAGGAACCTTCGCTCTGAGGTTCTCTCTAAGGTCCGTTCTACAACGTGTCATGTAGGATTTTTAAATATATTGATATATATAAGCTTGGTTACCTAGGAGCTTTAGAATTAAAACCACCGGAGAGCGGCCTTGGTACCAAAGCCTAGATCTCTACTGAATGTGTGAATGATAAAATGGATGAGCCATAGCTAAGTAAGTACCATTTTAAATGTTTAACCTAGAGGTGCACCCAAGATACTATTTAGTTAGGACCTAATTAGATAAATGAAATATAAAACATTTCGAAATTACCAGGTTTCTTTTTAAGCATTTCAGTACATAAATGCTGGAGTCCCCCTCTCCCTTGTATGTAATCATTTATTTGTGAAAAGATTGTTATTAAAAGGCAGTGTTTGTGTTGCATTAACACACACAAAAATGTTTAAGTAGGAGAGAGGTCCTATGAAATGTTTTCCCATGCCTTTTTTTCTTTGTACTTTTTTTTAGGTTTTTGACATAGGGCCCATACACTTGCCAGAGAAAGAGACAATGAGAGGGAAAGTGAGAAATCCGCCCCCCCCCCCTTCTTTAATCCTTTCTCCTCCAATCTCCTGGAATTTGGGGCACTAATGCACATGTGATTTTCAAGCTGCCAAGTTCAGGACTAGAACCGCAGTTGGTCATGTGGAAGTATAGCACCTTAACACCCATGCTCCTACTGGCCCCCTCCCATGCCTTTTCTAAATGTTGTTACCTAATGTAGGTGTTAACACATTAAGAACTGAGTGCATTAAAGCTTCCTTATTGGGCTGATAACTGCATTTAGTTGCAGACTTTTAAATACTTTACTCAGTTTACCCCCTCTCTTAAGTGCAGCATACTTCCTACCTTTATAATTAATATACAAATTATTTAACCCTTTCTTAATTATAGTTGCTAATAGTATACTGGGCCCACCATCTCACTTAGTGTGCAAAAGGCCTAATGAACTTTGTAACATAGCAAGAGCTTTGATTCTTTAAAAAGAAAAGAGAAAGGAAGAAAACTGAATATAGGATAACCAAAGTAGTATGAATATTTTCTTACACAGATTTTGCTTTTTTATTTCTTTGTTTGTTTTTGGTCAGAAGGCTCATGTGCTTGTGAGGGAGAGAAAAAGCAACCCTCAGTGAGTGCAGTATGGTCCTACCACAGTCCTTTTTCCTCCATTTCTCCATCCCATTAGAATTTGGGGCATATACACATGGTGTGTTTTTCTAGCCACCAGGACCAGGATTCAAACCATGGTCAGCCACGTGGAATTTGGCTCCATATGCACAATGCATAAACATTGCACTAAGGGGCCAGCCCTGAGCAGTTCTTTATACTCAGAGTAGAAAATGTACAGAACAGATATGGTAGAGAATATTGACCAACACATTGGACCTAAAGAGGCATTTTTTTTTTCTTTATTATTTTCCAGTTTGATCAGAGAGAGATAGGAAAAATGAGAAAGCAAGCCACCAGGTCCGAGACTTAAACCATGGTTGGCCATGTGGGAGTCCAGCGCCTTTAACCACCATGCTTCCTGCCGACCCCTATACTACATTTTTTTGAAACAGTGAAATTGCTAGGGCAGATAACAGAGCCAATTATTTCTGCCCTTTCCTCCCTTATCTATTTTTTACAGAAAGCAAAGTGTCAAAGCAACAGCCAAGACCAAAAAGAATGTATAGGTTTAGTTTACGCTCATAGCGCTAAAGCAGAATATTTTGTGTGTTGAGTCCTCTCCTCTCCTTTTTACATCACCAGTGAGTACTTAGATTTATGGTTCTCAAAACCAGCTTCACTTTGCAGTCAGTTGGTAAGTTAAAAATTAAAATTATAGGGAGCAGTAAATGACATAATGGTTACATTGCTGGACTCCCACATGGCTGGATGTAGTTCGAGTCCCAGACCTGGCAGCTTCAGACTCATGCCAGGCACATGCTCAAAAATCCCAAGAGGAGACTGGAGAAGGGATTGTGGCGTGGCCATCCCCCCAGGAGGTGATTTCTCACTTTTGGTCTCTCTGTATCTCTATTTCTGGTGAGTCCACATGCCCTACAGCAAGAATCTCTCTAAAATAAACAAAAAACTAGAATTATAATTATATCCTGGCTGTACTTCAGCCCAGTTAGATGGGACTGAGGAGAGTACTGAGATATGACTGGAGTTATAATTGTTTTTAAAGCTCCTTCAATGAATTCTGTGCTGCTGACATTGAAAACCACTGATTTAGTATTAATCTTTTTCTCTGTGAGCACCTGTATATATGCCTTCTTCCCTGAGAAGAAGGATGGAACTGAGAATGGAATTAAAGGGTGCATGTATAGCGACTTGCAGCAGATGGTGTAATGGTTATATCACTGAACTCCCACATGGCCAACCACGGTTCTAGTCCCAGAGCCGGAGGCTTAAAATTCACACTCAGCGTGTATGTATGTGTGTACTCAAAATCTCGAGGAGAGTGGAGAAGGGATTGAGGTATGACCATTCTGTCAAAAGGAGGGGAGCGATGCTTTTGTGTTTCTTCTCACATCTTCTAAGGCATTTAGTCCAGAGAGGAATTGAGGGAAGGGAAATGGTCCATGGTAATGGCTAGTATAAAGCACAATTGAAATTGATTGAATATAGGCTAACCAAAGTATTATGAACATTTTACTTAAGCGATCTTTTTTTATTTTATTTTATTTTTTTTTTTGTCAGAGGGCTCATATGCTTAAAGCAACCCTCAGTGGAGTATGGTCACATCACAATCTTTTTTCCAATGTAATACATATACTACATAGATTAAATTCATTATTTGTTTAGTGATTGTTAATTACACTTTTATCAATGTGATATTGCAAATAATTCTTTCTCTGATTTATACATCAGACTGACATAATGAGAAATGAATTTGACAGACTGGCTGCTCGACAACCAATTGAATTGCTCAGCATGAAACGGTAAGAATACTAAAATGAAAGTTAAAATTTAGTTGTAGTAACTTATTAATAATGAGTTGAAATCTAGGAAGAGTATTTGCTGGCTATACTGACAGCATGGAAGGACTGGGTTGTATGAAGAGAGAGAATATAGTGAGTTCTATTTTACTTATTCATTCTTGCCAGAAGATGTGTCAGAAAGAAAGAATCCCCCCAATAGGACATGGTCACACTGCAATCCCTTCATTTCTCGGTCATGTTGGGGTTAGGGACACACATATGCACCCAGTGTGTTTTTCAAACCACCAGGGCCAGGATTGAAACTGCAGTTGTCCATGTGGGATCTAACTTCCTTAATCATTTAGCTAAGGTTAGACCCAGAGCAGGATCTAAATGCAAAGAATTATTTTATCATTCCCATTTTCTTCTCTAGAGTAAATTATGAATATCCTACAAAAAACAATAGCTGGTTCAGCTATGTATTGTGATAGTTAAACACAGTGCATAGGGAGTCAGATTCCACGTGGCCAACCACAGTTGGAGACCAGCAGATGGCATAGTGGTTACATTGCTGGACTCCCACATAGTCAACCATGGTTTGAATCCCAGACCTGGCAGCTTAACACTTAGGCCAAGCACCTGTGTGTGCATGTGTACCCAAGATCCTGAGAGGAGAATGGAGAAGGGATTGTGATGTGTTTTTCCCCCACGGGGTGATTTCTCGCTTTCTATCTCTCTCTCTCTCTCTTTCTCTCTCTCTCTCTCTCTCTCTCTAGCAAACACACACACCCTATACTAAAAAAATCTCTCTCAGAAAAAAGAAAAACCCACCAGGTGTGTGTGCATGCATGTGTGGCCCAAAATTCTGACAGTAAAAAGAGATGAGGGAAAGGATTATAACATGACCACACTCCATTGGGAGGTTCTTTTTTCTCTTTCTCTCTCTCTGTCTATTGCTCTTGAGTACATGCATCCTCTCTGGCAATTAAAATGATAGCAAAGTGGGACCAGCAGGTGGCGTGGTGATTAAGGCTCTGGATACTCCCACATGGCTGACCATGGTTTGAGTCCCAGACCTGGTGGCCTGCTTTCTTACTTTCCCTGTCTCTCTCTCTATGTGTATGTCTCTCTCTGGTCAAATTAAAATAAATGAATGAATAAATAAAATTAAATAAATAATTATTAAAAAAAAAGATAGCCAAGTTTTTTGTATCCTACTTTTTTCCCTTATTACTGATATTCTTAATACTATTGAATATTCCTCAGTAACATTTAATAGCTAATATAACAATTCTTTATATGAATATATTGTAGATTATTTAACCAGTTTATATTGAACAGTTTTTTGTTACTGAATATAAGGATGCTAAATCTTATTTTAATTATTTATAAGGATAAATAGTTTCTTATTATTACAAGGTCTGCATCTTATCTTTAATCTTTTATAGTTCTTAAAGTGTGTATAGAGCCATGGGTCATTCTACTGGAAGGAGGGATAAGGCTTAGCAGGATTTGTGGTTTTGTTGTTTAATTTCAGATATGAGCTTCCAGCCCCTTCTTCAGGTCAGAAAAATGACATTACTGCATGGCAAGAATGTGTGAATAATTCTATGGCTCAGTTAGAGCATCAAGCAGTTCGAATTGAGAATCTGGAGCTAATGTCACAGCACGGATGCAATGCCTGGAAAGTATATAATGAGTAAGGAACTTTATTTTGTTTCGCTTTGTTGTTTTCCCCCTTAAATCCATTCCACTCAAAGCTTTAGTGTTTTTAAAAAGTTTAGGAGTGGAGCCAGCAGGTGGCGTAGTGGTCGGGGTGCTGGACTCCCACATGGCTGATTGCGGTTTAAGTCCCAGACCCTCTGACTTTAAAATCACACTGAGCATGTGTATGTGCGTGCCCAGAGTCCCAAGAGGAGAGTAAAGAAGGGACTGTGACATAGCCATCCTCCTAGGGGGTGATTTCTCATTTTCCCTTTCGCTGTCTCTCTCTCTCTCTTCGGCAAGTGCACATGCCCTATGGCAGAAACCTAAAAAGAAAAATAGTGGGAGATTTTGGGCCAGCCAGTGGCATAGTGGTTAGGACAGCTGGATTCTGTATGGGCAGCTCTATAGCTTGAGTCCCAGACCTCATAGTTTGAAAATCTTGCTGGGCATGTGTTCACACATGCCAAAAATCCTAAAAGGAGTGAGAGATGGAGAATAAGGGATTGCTAGGTGACCATTCCCCATGGAGGTTGTTTTTTTCATATCCCTCTCTTTGACTCTTTCCAGCGAATGCATGCGCCCTCTGGCAAATTTAAAAAGTATAAAATCTCAAGTAGGGAATGGGGGGCTAAAAATAGCCAAACTTGGGGACCAGCAGATGGCGTAATGGTTATGTTGCTGGATTCCTATGTAGTTGACCACAGTTCGAGTCCTGGGCCCAGTGACTTAAATTCACACGGGGAACATGTGCTTGAGTGCCCAAAGTGCTGAGGAAAATGGAGGAGAAGGGATTGCGGCATGGCCATTCCCCTGGGTGGGGGGTTGATTTTTCACTTTCTGTCTCTGTCTCACCAACGAACATATGCCCCCTATAGCAGAAATCTCTCTCTCTAAAAAAAGCCAAATTTTAACTTGGGATCATATCCTAGAACTACAACCCATATGAGAGGCTGTTACTTTGAGACGCACCTCAAAGTTGAGAGTGGGTCCTAAATCTTGCTACCACGTTTATCATTTAACCCTGTGAATTCTAAGTTCTGATTTACATATCTCTACTTGGTGGAAAGTCATTCTTGTTTTGGGAATGTCATTCTTAATGTAGGATTGCTAATACAGTTGATTCTAATTGTTCACATATTATATTCTTTTTTTTTTTTTTTTGAGAGAGAGATTTTTGTTACAGGGCACGTGCACTCGCCAGAGACAGAAAGTGAGAAATCACCTCCCGAGGGGGATGGCCACATTGCAATCCCTTTCCCTCTATTCTCCTCTCGGGATCTTGGGCATGCACGCACATGCTCCCAGCGTGAATATAAGCCATTGGGTCCGGGACTCGAACTGTTGTCGACTACATGGGAGTCCAGCAGCATAGCCATTACGCTAACTGCTGGTCCCTATTATTCTTTTAAAGTCCATGTGACCACTGAATTAGAAAATATTGTTCCATTTCTTTTAGGGGATGTGTGTGTACGTGGATGTGCATGGATATACACACATATATACCTCACATACATGATTATCTTGATTGTAAAAGCAAATCTTGGTAGATTTGATTTTATTTTTAAATTTTCTATAGGGTATGAGCACTTGCCAGAGAGAGATGGTGAGGGAGGGAGGGAAAGTGAGAAAGTATCCCCCCAAGAGGGGATGACCTTTCCACAGTCCCTTCTCCTCCACCCTCTCAGGATTTTGGGCATGCATGCACATGTACCCAGTGTATTTCTCAAGCCATCAGATCTGAGACTCAAACAGTGCAGTCAACTATGTGGGATACAGCTGCCTCAACCACCACATGGCTTGACTGGACTAGTTTTATTTTCTAAATAAATGAGAAAACAAAATTCAGAAGTATAAGACAACTTGCTTGAGGCCACCCCACTAATAGATGCCAGACTGAACTCAAAACTCCATCCTTTGGTCATCTCTGTATGAGAGCTGAAACCATGAGGCAGAACATCTCCTTGTCCATTGTCAGCTGAAAATGAACTTTTCCCATGCTAGTAAGAGATAATTCGGGCTGGTATATGAACCACTAGCCTTCACAACAGTTTTCCTTTTCTCTCTCTAGTTAGCTGCACACAGGAGGAGAGAATGACAAGGTAAATGTACATACAGAAATATCAAGACCAGGGACCAGCAGTTAGTGTAATGTCTATGTCACTGGACTCCCACATAGTCGACTGCTGTTCGAGTCCCGGACCCGGTGGTTTAAACTCACGCCGGGCGTGTGTGCGTGCGTGCCCAAGATCCCGAGAGGAGAATGGAGGAGAAGGGATTGTGGCATGGCCATCCCCTCTGGGGGGTGATTTCTCGCTTTCTATCTCTCTGTCTCTCTCTGTCTGGCTGGCAAGCACATGCACCCTATAGCAAAAACCTCTCCAAAAAAAAAAAGAAATATCAAGACCAAAAAACAGGTCAAGAAATACAGTTTAAAAATGAGGGCCAGCTCCATAGCCTGGTTAAGACAGTCAGACCCTATATGGCCATCCATGCAGTTTGAGCCCTGGACCTGGTGGCTTGAGAGACACACTTGAGTGTATGTGGGTGTTTGCCCAAAATCCAAAAGAAATAGATGGAGGAGTAAGAATTGCAGAATGACCATTCTGCATGGGGGAGGGAATCGCTTCCTCCTCTCCCTCTGTCTCTCTGTCCTTCTCTCTGTTGAGTATATGTACTTTCTAGCCAAAAAGATATATTAAGAAAAAAATCAGATGTTATTCATCTTCTCTGTTGAATATAAGTCATAACAGAGAGACAAGAGACAGTGAGAGGGAAAGTGAGAAATCATCCCCTGGGGGGATGGCCACACCTCTGTTCTTCATTCTCCTCCTGGGATCTTGGGCTCGCACACACATGTGCCTGATGTGATTCTCAAGCCTCCAGATCCAGGACTGTAACCGCCGCTGCTCACATGAGAGTCCAGCCACGTAACCACTATGACATCTGCTGGCCCCCTCCTTTTTTTAAAAAATGGATCATTCCTTTTCTCTTTCTTAAAACATTTTATTTATTTATTTATTTATGTATGTATGTATTTATGTATGTATGTATTTATTTATTTATTTAAATTTGACCAGAGAGAGGCTGGGGGGGGGGGGGGGTGAGAAAGCAAGCCACCAGGTCTGGGACTTGAACCACGGTTGGCCATGTGGGAGTCCAGAACCCTTAACCACCATGCCACCTGCTGGGCCCTAGTCATGACAGTTTTAAGAAGTGACATTGGGGACCAGTAGGTGGCATGGTGGTTAAGCCACTGGACACTCCCATATGGCTGACCATGGTTCAAGTCCCTGACCTGGAGGCTTGTTTTCTCACTTTCCTTCTCTCTCTCTGTCTCTCTCTGGTCATATTAAAATAAATGAACTAATAAAATAAGATTAAATTTAAACAATAATTCTTAAAAAAAAAAAAGAAAGAAAAAAAAAAAAGAAGGGACATTAAGTACTCAAAATCAGAGTACCATGAACTATATGGGTCCTCTGTCAAAAGACTTGAAGTAGACTCTAGCTCTGACACTTATTTTGACCAAGTTACTTAATGTTTCTAAATCTCAATTTCTTTAAATATGAACTTGGAATACTTTATAACTCCCTTAAGAATTCCTGTAAGAAAGCTGGCAGGTAGCATGGTGGTTAAGGCACTGGACTCCCATGTGGCCAGCTGTGATTTGAATCCTGGTCCTGACAGCTTGCTTTCTCACTTGTCCTCTCTCTGATCAAATTTAAAAGATAATAATAAATGAAATTAAATAAGTAATTCTTTAAAAAAGAGAGAGAATTCCTGTGAGAGGACCAGCAAGTGGCATGGAGGTCAAGGTGGTTGGATCCAACATAGCCAACTCCGGTTCAAGTCATGGACCCAGCAGCTTGACAGTCACCCCTGTACACATGCATGCATGCCCACAGTCCCTAGAGAATGGAGGAGAGGGGATTGTGGCATGGCCATCCCTCTTGAGATATGATTTCTCACTTTTCCCCTCTCGTGCTCGCTCACATTCGCGCGCGGTCTCTCTCTCTCTCTCTGGCAAGCACACACATCCAAAAGCAAAAACTAGGGAAAAGAGAATTCCTGCAAAAATTCAATTAGTATTTATTTAATATTTAACGTAGTATTGGCACAGAGAGCTGTATAAATACTAATTTTAACAGGGAATCTGGACTTTGTGTCAACTAGGTAGTTTGCCTTCAGTTGGCACTAGAGATCTTAATGTATCTTAATCTGGCTCTCTTCTCTTCCTTCTTTAGAAATCTAGTTCATATGATTGAACATGCGCAGAAAGAGCTTCAGAAGTTAAGGTAAAATTTTCTTCCTATTGTTTTAAAATTAAATGAACCCTTAAAAAAACAGAGTATTGGGGCCTGCCGTTGGTGTGATGGTTAAAGGTGCTGGAGTCCCACATGGTCAACTGCAGTTTGAGTCCCAGACCTGGCAGCTTGCTTTCTTGCTTTTTTTTTTTCTGTCTCTGTCCGGTCAAATTTTAAAATAATAACAAATGAAATTAAATAAATAATTATTTTTAAAATAGAGTATTGAGTAAATAAAAGTAACCAATGAGACTATAATTAATTTGAAAGCCAAGAATTGATCCACTTTTTGTCCAGCGTCTAACACTAAGTTTGCCCTATCTGAGTGGAGTGGAGGAGACATGGGCCTGAGGTCTGAAAATATTTCAAAGTGAGAAAGCAAGCCACCAGGTCTGGGACTTGAACCACGGTTGGCCATGTGGGAGTCCAGAACCCTTAACCACCATGCCACCTGCTGGGCCCTAGTCATGACAGTTTTAAGAAGTGACATTGGGGACCAGTAGGTGGCATGGTGGTTAAGCCACTGGACACTCCCATATGGCTGACCATGGTTCAAGTCCCTGACCTGGAGGCTTGTTTTCTCACTTTCCTTCTCTCTCTCTGTCTCTCTCTGGTCATATTAAAATAAATGAACTAATAAAATAAGATTAAATTTAAACAATAATTCTTAAAAAAAAAAAAGAAAGAAAAAAAAAAAAGAAGGGACATTAAGTACTCAAAATCAGAGTACCATGAACTATATGGGTCCTCTGTCAAAAGACTTGAAGTAGACTCTAGCTCTGACACTTATTTTGACCAAGTTACTTAATGTTTCTAAATCTCAATTTCTTTAAATATGAACTTGGAATACTTTATAACTCCCTTAAGAATTCCTGTAAGAAAGCTGGCAGGTAGCATGGTGGTTAAGGCACTGGACTCCCATGTGGCCAGCTGTGATTTGAATCCTGGTCCTGACAGCTTGCTTTCTCACTTGTCCTCTCTCTGATCAAATTTAAAAGATAATAATAAATGAAATTAAATAAGTAATTCTTTAAAAAAGAGAGAGAATTCCTGTGAGAGGACCAGCAAGTGGCATGGAGGTCAAGGTGGTTGGATCCAACATAGCCAACTCCGGTTCAAGTCATGGACCCAGCAGCTTGACAGTCACCCCTGTACACATGCATGCATGCCCACAGTCCCTAGAGAATGGAGGAGAGGGGATTGTGGCATGGCCATCCCTCTTGAGATATGATTTCTCACTTTTCCCCTCTCGTGCTCGCTCACATTCGCGCGCGGTCTCTCTCTCTCTCTCTGGCAAGCACACACATCCAAAAGCAAAAACTAGGGAAAAGAGAATTCCTGCAAAAATTCAATTAGTATTTATTTAATATTTAACGTAGTATTGGCACAGAGAGCTGTATAAATACTAATTTTAACAGGGAATCTGGACTTTGTGTCAACTAGGTAGTTTGCCTTCAGTTGGCACTAGAGATCTTAATGTATCTTAATCTGGCTCTCTTCTCTTCCTTCTTTAGAAATCTAGTTCATATGATTGAACATGCGCAGAAAGAGCTTCAGAAGTTAAGGTAAAATTTTCTTCCTATTGTTTTAAAATTAAATGAACCCTTAAAAAAACAGAGTATTGGGGCCTGCCGTTGGTGTGATGGTTAAAGGTGCTGGAGTCCCACATGGTCAACTGCAGTTTGAGTCCCAGACCTGGCAGCTTGCTTTCTTGCTTTTTTTTTTTCTGTCTCTGTCCGGTCAAATTTTAAAATAATAACAAATGAAATTAAATAAATAATTATTTTTAAAATAGAGTATTGAGTAAATAAAAGTAACCAATGAGACTATAATTAATTTGAAAGCCAAGAATTGATCCACTTTTTGTCCAGCGTCTAACACTAAGTTTGCCCTATCTGAGTGGAGTGGAGGAGACATGGGCCTGAGGTCTGAAAATATTTCTGCTTGACCATTTACAACTTGCAAATGTGCAGACATGGAAGAAGCACTTTTAGCAAGGGATAAAGTTGCAGGAAAACATATATAATCTGAATTAATTAAAAAAAAAAACCTACTCTGTGCCTGTACATACACATAAGGAAAGAGTCTGGAAGGACACCCATGAAAGACTCAAGAACATTACAGGTAGTATGAGAAGTACATGGGAGAGGAGGGACTTTCAGTTTTTAATTTCCATGTGCACATAAAGGTATGTTTATTTTTAATTTTTCACAATGAGCATGTTTTATAAAATTTGTAATTAGGCCAGCCCTGTAGGACAGTGACTAAGCACCAATCCCACATCCTGGCCTGGGTGGCTTAAAAAACATGCCAGGTACATGTGCATATGTGTCTAAGATCCTGATGGAATGGGGGAAGGGAATTGGGACAAGACCACATTCCTCAGAGGAGTATGTGCCCTTGCTTGCTCACTCTCTCTCCTGTAAGCACAAGTACCGTCTATCAAGAAAAAATAATTAAAGTTAAAAAATAAATTTGTAATTGAAAATGATTTTTCACAAGGGGCATGTTCTGTAAAATCTGTAATTGGGCCAGCCCTATAGCACAGTGGTTAAGCACTGTGTGTAGGGAGCTGAATCCCACATTCCAATTCAGATCCTATCTCTAGTGGCTTGAAAACCATACTGAGCACATTCGTGTACCTAAATCTTGATGAAATGGAGAAGTGGAATAAAGGGATTGTGGCACCACCACACCCCACTGGGAAGATTTCTCTCTCACAAGTACACACCCTCTGGCAATAATAAATAATAAAATTTAAGGACAAATATAGTTAAAAAATAAGTAGCTAGGATTATAACTGGGCACAATAGATGTACCTATAATTACAGTAAAGTGAATTCCTAGAATTGGTCCATAACTATGTATATTTCTGTGGTTCTCAGAGTTAAAGCATTCTCATGTCTATACAGATCTCTTTCTGGGGCAGCCTAGATAGTGCAGTGGTAATGCACTGCTCAAGTAATGCTAGATCCATATGGAAGATTGTGGGTTTGATTCCCTGGCTGATAAGTATACTCTGAGCACGTACTCCCCTGATCCTGACTGCCTGGGAAGACTAGGGGAGGGCTTTGTGGTGCGAGACATTGCGGGGTGCTTATCTCTCAGTTTTTCTCACATTCTCATGAAAGAAATAGTCTTTCCATATTGATTTTAGTCTTATGATAAAATGTATTTGGATTTTATAAATAATGTTTTACAGGAAACATATCCAAGATTTAAACTGGCAGCGTAAGAACATGCAGCTCACAGCTGGATCTAAATTGAGAGAAATGGAATCAAAGTGAGTCTTTAATTTTGATATCTTTTAAATTGCTTAGCCCATTCTAAGATCAAGATTTAGTAATATCTCATTATTACTCAAATGGGATGCCACAGATGTCAAAGAAATACTGTTTTTTAAACCTGTCTTTCACTGTCTCTGCCCCTTTCTAAGGTATAAGCTTAGAAAGCAATGAAAGAGTTTTAAGTAATTGAATCACAGCTAAATTATCCTGGTCTCAAGAGTACCATTTTCAGTCTAGTAATTCTGGCTCTGAGTAGGACTTTACCTGTATATCTCCTTTTAAAAGAAAAAATGTGTTTTTAAAAACCTCTTACAGGATAGGATATTCCATATTTTTCTTGTTAACTTCCCTCATTTTTTCCCCTTATTCATGCATAGCTTTTTGAGTGTTCTTCTACATGTACACATAGAAATGTTTATACAGATCCCTAACAGAGTCATGGGTTTTTGTGTCATTTTTTGTTTTGCTGTTTGTCACCTGTATTCTCTTTGTTCTGCCCCCCACCTCATTGTCCTCACACCCTGTGTTACCAGTCTCTTAGTCATCCTTTCACATTTTTCTTTAACATAATCTTATGACTTCTAATGTGTATTTCTTTTTTATTGTCCTCTTAAGAGATTTGGGGGGAGTGCAAAGAACCTAGATTCTTTTTTATCAGGTCTACCTTTTTTTTTTTTTTTTTTTTTAGGTCTGCA